ACCTTTTTCGATCTAGTTAGTTCGTTCAATCAGTAGTGTGTAGTGAATTAGATTAGTGAATAGTTTACAGGTTAGTATTAAAAAATAGTCACCTGGAGTAATAACAGTGTTAACTGTTAGTTAGGTTAGTTTATATTAATTTGTACTGAACTAGATCGTTAAAGGTTAGTATTAATTAGTTACTGGTACTGGTAGTGAGAAACAGTGTTAGCTAATTAGTTCGTTTAGATTAGTTTGTACTGAACTAGGTAGTTACAGGTTAGTAATCCTTAGCTACCGTTACTAACAAACAGTGTTAGCTGGGTAGAGGCGTAGAATTCCGTCGTAGACTTGTGGGTCGATGGTCTGGCTTCCTGCATAGCGGAACGTCAGGTAATAATAATAATAATAATAATAATAATAATAATAATAATAATAATACGCACGCACACCGTGGTTGATGTCAAATCGTACGTCTGCTAAAAGCGTTTGTTATCTTCAATCCAGTTATTTCAACAGCAGCGTATGGTGGATGTTGTTTGGTTACGGACTCCACTGTATGGAACGGGCAGAAGCGCACGTGCAGTTGTAAACGAGACGGACCGCGTGATGCGACCGTTGTAAAAACCGGTTGTGTACTAACGTTAATGTAAAAGTAAGTTGGATTAGGCCGATTCCCGTTGCGCGCATCAAGTAACTTTCGCAGTTTAGCTTCTGCTTAGAAGAGGGCGCAGCACACACGCGACGCACACCTGGCGCGCACACACGAGGCTGCGCGCACACAACGCACACGAACGCACACACACACGCGCACACACACCACACACACACAACACCACACACAACACACGCTACGCACCGCAACACACACACACACAACACGCTAACGCACGAACACGAAGCACGACACCACCGCGCTCATCTCGTGGAAGAATTCTGCGTGAACGAGGGTTTGAGATAGAGGAGAGGACTAGCCGTCGAATGGGATCCTTTCCGTTGTGGGAGAGAGCGAAGAGAACGGGGGGTAAGTTGCTACCAGTCGTGTACTCTTACCCGATCGTGCTGATAGACCTGGGGGGATCGGTACCTGGACTCGGCGTCACCCGTTAATAATAGCTCGTTGGAACATTAAATTTACGATTAGGATTTGTGATATAGCCTAGAAAAACACTCACGTTTGTGGAGTATGGAANTCTCTCTCTCTCTCTCTCTCTCTCTCTCTCTCTCTCTCTCTCTCTCTCTCTCTCTCTCTCTCTCTCTCTCTCTCTCTCTCTCTCTCTCTCTCTCTCTCCTACCCTGCCGTCTCCCGTCTCTCCTCCCCCCTCACCTCCCCCTCCCCCCTCCCCCCGGAGTAGGCGCCGGCATGTCCAATATTGTATTTCCACTTGTAGCTAGCTAGCCCTATGCCGGGGGCTCGCGAAGCTCCGATTCCGCCGTGCCTGGGGCCCTGGGTGATCCCCCCGCGGATCGCGACGGCTGTGTATTATATGATAGCGAGGGCCGTCGCTGTGAGATTGACCTGAGATGTAGAAGCTGGTGATGATGATGAGATACGTACGTAATACTGAGCAGCTTTCTTTAGTCGCATCGTGTTGCCAGGCGTCCGGAACGGAAAGCGTGATTTTGTTCGTCTGCCAGCGTATAGTGCTTACCGGATTTGGGTGCTGACTAGTTAGTTCGTTTAATCAGTAGTGTGTAGTGAATTAGATTAGTGAATAGTTTACAGGTTAGTATTAAAAA